CCCCCCGGCTGCTTTACCAGGCACCGAGGGGACAAGGCGTGGAGGGGGAAACAACCCCGGTTAGTCAGCCCGAGGGGTGTCGGGTCACGCTGGGAAAGGCGGCGGTGAGGAGGGAGGGTGTGTTCCAGCCCCACGGGAGGTGTGTGGGGATGGGGGAACACGCAGCGAGCCGTCCGGTGCTCTCCCAGAGAGGGGCCTGAAGGAGGCTCCTGCCAGCCCCGCCTCGCCTGGGGACCGCGCTGTCAGCGCCACCAGGGACTTCGGTTTGGTCACGGCACTCCACCGACACAAGTGAGCACAAGCAGGACACCAAAGGGTAGAGAACCACTCCGCAGGGTTTCACAGGCCCTTTTTAGAGCTGTCCCCCCAGTTCAGAGCTCTTGTGTGGAGGCCCCTCGGTGCCAGCCTTTTTCTTCCCCACTGCAGGCCCAGCTGCGGTGCCACGGCCAGGTCTGGTACGCAGAGCCACACTTCCCGCTTTGACTCTTGGCCAGGCAAATACTTGGGCGTAGAGCAGCGAGCCAGGACGGCAAACTATGAGCTCTGAGCAGCCCCTGTACGCTCTTCTCCTGGGTGCGTGTTTTACTGGGTGTGAAGGGGCTGGTTTTGCGAGCAGCAGAGCACAGAAACCTTGTGTAGGGTGCTGCCTGTGGGTGTGATGTTTGCTCTCCAGCCTGGTGCAACTTTGTTGGATTGCACTAGTTCAGGTGATCTAGGCACACTGCCTACTAAAAATATTGTAGAATGGTTTGATACTGCACTGCTTTTTTTAGCTTTGCATGCCAGGTAGGGACAGGACATATATGCAAATCATTTAATGGAAAGATTTTAATTCTTTTTTTTTTTTTTTTTACATTTACCTTGCAATCACGTATTCATGCAAAACAAAGCCTCTATAAAAACATGAAAAGGGTCACTGAGGGGAGACACTCAGCTCCTGTCTGGTCAGAAACAGTGGGAAAGGCCTTTAAATAAACACATGGACCAGAAAACAATTGGAAAAATTTGCAGCGATTACCAGAGGTTCCCGGCTGTTCTGTTTCTGTAGCTGGCACAAACCTCGTTTTCAAAGCTCTGGTTAGTCTCTCCTGCACACAGGATGAACAGCAGACCACAGCTCAGCTGAGGATGCCCTGAGTTGCCCAGAAGCATGATGTTCTTGCAGGGGGACTGGGCAGCATGGTTATGACAATGCTTATGAAGGGGGGAGCCCAGGAGTGGTGTCTTGGAAAAAGCCTAGATCCTGTTTGGTACTGTAGATGAGAACCTGGGAACTGAACTGGCTTCTTGAGCTCCCCTACCTTACCCTGACCAGCAGTTAGTGAATTCTGCTACAGATCCAAAATACATCGGAGTCAGGTTATATTCACCCATCTCTTCCATTTGTGGTGGCTGTGAAATTTTGGCCATAGAGGGCTCTTATTTTAAGATTTTTTAAAAATAATATTTTTCCCTTAGACATTTTTTTCTTTGCCTTTCTTAATCATTCTTCTCCTGGAAGAGTCTGCAAGAACCTCCAGGATCATCCCCTGGTGTTCTGCTTTGCACTCATGCAGTGTAGCTGAGGGTCTCAGTCTCACACTCCCCCACTGGGTTACAGACATTTACAGGTCAGCATTTCTTTCTCTTATTGCTCTTGAAGTTAGGCTGTTCCCACAGTAAGAGACTAGAGCAGGTGAGCTGCTCCAAGCCAAACCAGGAAAAGGCATTCAGCCTTACTCTGTGCTTTATCTGCCTTTCGTCTGCTTTGATTTTTGTGGGTAGATAACAGGATTTCAGTCTTTAGCCAAGGGTCTCAAACGAGCCACTAATAAAAAGAAAAAATGTACGCCAGTTAAAACTCCGATCTTGGTGTTCATCCAAATCTTCATGCAGAAACACCAAATGCAAGCAGAAATTATTGCAGTTACACATTAAACTGAGCCGTCGGTTCAGTTTCACAGTGTCATGAACAGCTACGTTATCACATCAGGAGGAAGTAGGTGAAAATTAAATATTCTTTTATATGCATTTTTGACCGGATATCATCAGGAACACGAAGTCCCGGCTTCTCATGAAACATGAAACCTTTGGTTACATGTGATTTATCTGCACTGGCTTATTAACTGTCCACCTTTAAGAAGCTCATATTTCTAATGTTGATTACATGTACTGAAAACACAACAAAGTCCTTGCCAGGACTTCACATACTTCTGCTTACTACAGTTCTTGCTTTTGGGGGATGGTAGTTAATGAATATGATAGATTACCTTGGATACGGCGACTAAACTTTCCATGTAAATGCAGGATTTTTCAAGAAAGCCAGTTACTGATGAACAAAAGAACATTGCTCAGTTTTTGGAAAATGTTATGCTTATCCAAAGTCCCTTTCTATGTGGTGTTAAAACATTGAAACACATTCAATTATGTGTCTTCTATGGTGGAAGCATTTTTGCTATCACAAATTATAAATGTGTATTTAGTCTTCAAGTATGTATGTTACTTCTATGGAAAGCAGAAAGAAAAAGGTATTGAAAAGCATAATGTATCCTTTCTTAAAACAGATCGCTAAGATAGGATAAATCACCAGGATACAGAGATCCCAATCTGCCCTGGACTGTTGGTGCAGCATCACTTCCAGGCTTACCACTCTCCTTTGTCTTTCAGCTCCTGGAGGAGTATCCTTAGTTGTCCCACAACCCAACATCAATGCAACAGTGGCACAAAACATCCTCCTCTCAGTTGAATACTCTTGCCGAGGCGTGGCTACCATTGAGTGGAAGCATGTGTCAAGCTGGGGGACCACCAGCATTGTCGAGTGGAGAAGTGGGAATTATGTCAACATATCCACGGTCTACAAGGACAGAGTGACTACTTTTGAAAATGGCTCTATACAGCTTCGGAATGTGGGCATGAGAGATGCCGGCTACTATTTTGTCACTGTAATGGAGGAGCATGGAACCAATGCCTATGGCACCATCATAGTCAATGTTTACGGTACAAACTAGATGGGACTTCTTGGCTTTACCCTGTGTTTCAGCATCAGTCTGCTTGTAATCAATTTTATAATATTAATTCTTTTTTCATTTTCCCTACAGAGATTATCTATGAAGATTTGCATTTTGTAGCAGTTCTCTTCACATTTCTCGCTGCAGTATCTGCCATTCTAATCTGCTTCATGTGGCTGTGTAATAAATCTCTGCATCTATTTCAGAAGAAAACAACACACAAACTAACAGGTATTTCTCTAACAATTTAGTCAGGGTATAGAGTCTTCAAGCCTGAAATTTGAGCCTAAAATTTGTACCATAAACGTGCTAAACAGGGCCACTGAGAAACAAGACTGAAGGGCTCAGATCAGTTATCCCATTCTAACTCCTTACTAGCTGAAGGAACTGAATAACAGGTGTCTAGTTGAAGAACAATCCACAGGACATTTACCTTACATGTTTTCACATTAGAAATAATAAAATACTTCCCAACATGGCTGATTGCAAAACTTGGGGAGAAAAGGCCAGAGCTGCAATGACCCCCCCCTCAAAGGGCAGGAGACAAAGTCAAGAGCATGACCAACTCTGAGTTCACATCAGGAGGGTGTATTCTAGGGGAAAATATTCAAATGACTCTTGAGAGTGGCCTCTACTTCAGTTCAGTCCTCGGTGGAGGATTGCATCTCCTCCTGTCAAACCCCCTCTTCATCCGTACACTTTTGCTTCAGTTGCAGACTCCAACGAATACTGAGTAATATCAAAAGCTGACACCGAAGACAACAGTCACAAGAAGCAGGTCAGGGGAACACAAGGGCTACACTGAAGGGACATATTAAGAGAAGAAATTTCCAAGCCACTGACAGGGATATTTGGCCTAGGCAGACAAGGTGCACGTTATGGGCCTGGGGTGAAGCTCTTAGGCACATCTTGGAAATAGGAGGTTTTCTTTAACACTTCAAAATATTTCAGATATTTACCTCCCTTCTTTCTAAGTGGAGATCCACTCATGGTTTCTTGCCCTCTAGGTAAAAGGTCTGTATTTCTTCTATAATAAGTGTTACATTACAACAAGCAGCCTAGCTCTCAGTATTTTGCTAGACCAACACAGACAAGCATTTTAAGATTCATGGCCCAGACTTCATATCAACTCTGCAAAACCTAAAAAAAGAAATTAACTTGGTTTGAGCTGCCTCCTCCTGTCACTCACCTAAAGCTCTTAAGGGCTACTGTTGCTTTCATGGTGTATACACCACTCACAAGCTTCTGTAGCTACTGAAAACTTTCCTATCATGCCAGAATATACAGGATTTTGTTTAAAGCCTCTTCCTCCAGCGGAAGCCAATCTTCCCACAGAGCTGAACTGAATAGACATTTTCATGTAACGTATGGCAGAGTTCAGGAAAGCACAGTTCTAGAAATTTGTTGTGTGATGTCCCAGGAAATGGTCTGAAGCAGAGACCTAATTTCTGCCCCAGTTGTATCTCAGAAGAGCCCATCTTTCAGAAATCTTGAAGAGAGATGTAAGAACCGGCCCTACTGACTTAGTTTCCTTAGTGCCTTTAGCCTTGTACTGGAAGAGATCACTGTCACTTTAAAGATTGTGAGAACCTCTTTATGCAGTTAAATATTTTGAAAAGATGTATTTAAAACCTAATTTTAGATGAGCAAGCTTGAGCTAATATTAAAAAGTTGAAAACGTCTCGGGACAGTTAATTTTGGAATGTTTGCCTTCCAATCCATTTGCCAATCAATAACAATATCCTTTTATTTACAGCAAGTACAACAGAAGAGATTGAACTGGAAACCATCGAGTGTTAGCCAAGGACTGTATCATAATAACAATTCTACCTCAGGAGAAAGTATTGGCCAAGAAAGCAAGAACAAACCTAGAAGGTAAAATGTTTGTGACTACTGCAGAAATATCCTGACTTGCAAAGTAATTAAACCAGCAATGTCTGATGAAGCTGTTTTGACCTGGTAAATTTTCGGTTCTGCTAGTCAAGGTCAGAGTAAAAAAAGAGTATGCTTCATGAACACATTTTTGTGGCTAGCTAATAAAATCTACAGCCTCTACCACTCTTTAAAAACAACCAACCAACAAAGCCTCTAAGATCAACCCATAAAGGAAATTATCATGGTCTTGAAGGACACCTGTATTTTGGATACAGCAAGTCTCCTATTACAGACAGAGTGGTCATTAGCATCCATCAACATAATAAATTAAATATCTAATTACAGTATTACATTAAAAAATTAATTGCAAACATTGAATCCTGTTTATTGCACCTGTGCTGCTACTTTTGGGTGTAAGGAGCTTCCTGAAGCTCTGAAGACTACAATTTTTCATGAGACAAAACTGACTTTGAAAGAACGCTGAGCTGGTCAAAGTTCTCCCACTTGTGTTTCCAATTGTTTACACTGCCCCAGGATGGATGTTAACACACATTCTATGACATTACTAGAGCAGGTGGTTGTACAAGGAACAGTACACTTTAGCAGGCACTAAAGAGGACACTGTCTATAAAGATTAGGGAGGTCAGATATATAAATATAAAATACTGATACACACAACACCAATGGGATGGCAAAGTACTGAACAGTTTTGTTGTGAAAGATGTCCTTTGCAAACATAGCCCAGTGATGAAAAATCTATCAGAAAAGTTAAAACAGCATTACTTTGAAATACAGTATTTACAAATACAGTTCTAAAACTGCTCTTGTTGAGAAGCCACCTTTGCTTTCCCTATGTTGTAAGAAAATATGAAGTGACCTAACTAATGTTTTCTTGAATCTGCATATTGCACATATTCCAATTCTCCATCTGTACATCTGTTGGGTGAAATAATATTTGTGTTTGTCAATGAGAAAGCAGTAAACTGACCAAGTTCCAAATTACTCTGTTTTGCTTTTGTAATGAGCATTTTGCAGTGTGAAATAAACTTTGAACTTGGAAGACACCATGGACTAGTCTGCGCCTGTAGATTGCCATGTGGCTGTTTGAGTTGAACTGCTGCTCCTATCTTTGGCACATTTCATCTCATTTGTTTGCAAAAACCTTTTACAGGACAGGGTGACAGAGCTTTCCCTCTGGTCAGGGACTGGGATGCTCAAGTGCAGAGGTCCTATAGGCTCCATTTGGGAAAATGTTCAGGAAATTTCTCTCCAAGTGCATAAATGATGGAGGTAGGTGCCAAACAAGCCAAAGCACCCTGTGCACAATACCTTTAAGCCACCCCATACTGAGCTGGCCATTTCTAGTACAATGGGCCTCTCTCCCACTCATAAACTGAGGTACCAGATTCAGCTGTTTGCTCCTTCCTACATCTAGAACAGGTCAAAAAAGGTGAGAAATGAAATTAGTATCAGATACAGCACAGAAAAGTAAGTTTATTCCAATTCTCTGCTTTAAATGTGTATTGCCCATATTTTGTGTCTTTGAGTGAACTGAGCTTTGACAACAGGGAAACTGTAAGTGCATCTATTTCAATCACCAAACTTGAATTACTTGGTAAAGTATGCTTATAGAATATTGAAAACATTGTTAGGGGTTCTTTTAGGGCTCTAAATCTTAGACTTTGAATGAATCTTAGACTTTTAAAGCAAAAATCATTAAAGCACTTTGAATGTGAAGCTAGGTATTAGGCTGAACTGAACATACAGCAGGTGCTCTGCCAGACTTAGAAAATACAAGAAGTGCAGCTTACACATAAAACTACTGTTATCTGCTAACACTGGCCTGAACACTGCAGTTGCCAGAGGAAGTCAGGAAACGAATCCAGACAGGAATGACCATTCCAGTGCACTGCTGTGATTGCAGAGGTCACACACACATTTAAACCACAATGTTCGAAAGCTGGGACGAAAGTAGGAAATGAATACTTAAAATTCTTCAGTTTAAAATGCTCTACAACAAAAGAAGTTTACAAGTAGTACAGTTCTACCTCTTCCAGCTTGGCTGAAGTCACTGCAACTTCAGGCACCCATCCTTGGCTACTGAACCTGCTGCCAACCTTGCTTTTAGGCAGCAATATCCCATATGAACAGCAGGGACTCAAACAGTATTCAGTGAGAACATCCAGTACAGTTAGCCTGTAGATAGCTTTCCTTATAGACAACCCATCTAAAGTATTATGGAAGGTTGTCACAGTAGAAATTCAGAAACTAACAGCTGTTCTTACTATACTTGTAAACTCTGCAGAACAGCAGCAAATTTAATATTTAGAGCATTCTAGATGATCAAAGGGATTAAGGCATTTTATTTTTAAACTTGCATTAAATAGATGCACCAAATTCACCAGGTTCACCAAGATGAACCAAGATTGCTTTGGCAATCAATTGAAAAGTTCTTAATCATTCACTAATGTCATCATTTCATATTCAAAGATACACTAACAAGTTTCAAGACTGTCTCTCTTAGATGTCTAATCAGTCTGTTTTCCATTAAAATTAGGAATCCCTGTATATTCAACACCAAAACTGTCTCTCCAGGTCTCTAATATTTATTTTCATCATTATTATTACTATTATTCTTTTTTAAGCTAAACCTGGAAGTCTAGAAAAGTGTTTTCATGCTGATATGCAGAGCTTGCCCTTCTGCAACACAGGAGATGTCCTCCTTTTCAGGACAGAAGTCCTGCAGCCATGAGATTGTAATAACTCCAGAGTGATCTGATTACTTGGTAACGAAGAACTTCCTTGATGAAAAAGCTCTTGCTACATGCAGACCTGTCAATTCAGGTTAAGAGCAATAAAGTGTAAAGACATGTTCAAGTTTCATAGATTCAACTTCTAATTATTAATAAGAGATTTGTTGCATTGGCAGGAGTCAGAACAGCCTCATCTAGTCGGATGCAAGAAAACATGCATCAGGCTGTTGGCTGAACTGTTCACCAAGGAATAACCCCCCCCCCACCCCTGTCTGTAATCACAGAGTGTCTGCTGGCACATAATACAGTAATACAGTAATACAGGACCTGGCATCACAGGGGTTACATTAGGCTCAGCCCTGTTGCAACATCAGGAGACTATTTTCAACTAGGGCTTTTAATTTTCGTCAGTTGTCTTGGATAACAGGTGAGCACTTGAAAGGAAAACCCTTTCTCTCACTTAGTTCAGTCACACACAAGCAAGCACTTCCAGGAACTGAAACAAGATGCTCTGTGCTGGCCAACAGCAGTGTAAGAACAAGAACTGCTTTGGATACATGCTGAGCAGCAGCTTGCTGCTTATTTTCCTGCAATTATTCTTCATACCTGAGAATACAACAAAATAACAACTGTCACCATGGAAGTGTGATGTTCAATTCAAACACGTTTATGTGCAAGAAGTTCATATATATACATATGGACAGACATTTCATAAGACAATATGGACATGAATATGAACCAGTTCACACAGACAAGTTACAAAAAGACCCTTAGCACATAAGTACCAAACAAAATGAAAGCTTTGTTGAACACCATACTGTAAGTTTCAGGAGGGTTATAATTGCAACCAAAACTGTAAAAAATGTGACTTTTTAATTTTAAAAAACTCAAAAGAGCTGATACTTGGAAAGATATTATTATTTCCCTGGATGATAATAAAGGAGAATGCAGGAGAAAGATCCAGGTGCACAAGTGTGGAGGTTTACTACAGGAGTTACCTCCTTCTATCCAGTCACTAAGCCACAAGTCACCCACAAACTCAAATTGTCAGAACTTTGCAAGCCAAGTAAGACCCTTTTCTCTATATTCTTGGAAAAAAAGAGGTCAAAAAACAAGCAAAGTAGCTGACATCACACAGGCCATCAGAGAGGAAAGACTTTTGCCACAGGCAATGACTTAGTAACACTCTCAAGTTCAACTACCAAGTAAACATATTTCTCAAAAATAAAGGTGTCACCCAGAATCATCATCAATGTACAAACAAATTCCAACTCAAGAATGCTTCAACTCAAGGACTACCAAATTTAATCTTATAAACAAAAAATACATTAATTACTCATCTATGTCCCTCTGGACACAGCAGTTTTCAAAGATAAAGGTGAAAGGAACTTTTACAAAAAATCGTAAGTATTTTATATGCCACTGAAAAAGGTTTTATTACAAATACCATAATGGCTATTTCTGTATAGGAAATAAATTTGATTTTGCTTTCTTGTACTGGCCCATAGCTCCCATTTCCCTTTGCTGCATTAGCAGTTATCATTGCACAGAGACGCTTCTAAGCCCTGAGAGAGAGGCTGACGCTTCACTAGCAAGGAGTTAGGGCAGCCATGAGGAGTTCCATTTTATACACAAAGTTACGCCCTTCCATTTTATTCCACTGCACTTCCTTGAATGGCCCCCGGAGATGATTCCACTTGCTGTCCTGAAGGACATCGCCCTTGGGGAGATCCTTGCACTGACTCCGTGGAAACTGAACCATGACTTTGCTGCCGCTTTCTGGACCGTTACGTACTGTGGCAAAAGGAGAAATTTCAATGAGCATTTTTACACTGTATGAATTCCTCATACTAAATATTCTTCCTTGTGTATTCTATATTTTATTCCTACTCAATTCCAAACATGCTGAAAGCAAACAAGGGAAATTCCCTTCCTTTCTTTTTCTATGCTTTTTCTCTGGATTTTCTGTCTTGTTTACCACTTCTCTATGATTTTGTTGCTTTAGCACGTCATGTTTTTGCTTAGATCAAGACAGAGAAACTTTTAATAAACCCCAAAATGAACACCTTACAAATACATTTCTCTTTCCCCAGTGATGCCAAGAAGGGCAAAGGCTTCATTGGTCATTCTTTCCTTGGATGTACTCCCTGATGTTCTGTTGAAAAATGTATTGTTTCTATTTATCTCAAATAGACAGGATCTACATCACTAAGCTAACCTTCTATGAAGAGATGACTATCAGGCTGATTGAACATAATTTGTTTTTCATAAATTAATGCCAACTACTCCCCATCACCACATTCTCCACAGTACGTTTGGAAAATTCTTCTGAGACTACTTTTTTCCTCCTCATCTTCTCAGTTGCAATGGGGCTGATCAGACTGTAATTCCCCACATTTTCCTTCTTGAATACAGGGTGTAACATTTGCCTTCTTCCAGTCCTCAGGAGCCCTTCCTGAGTCTGGCCTTTTAGTGATGATCACGACTAGCCTTGCAGTGACATCAATCAACTCCTTCAGCAGCCATCCACCTGGTCCCATGAACTGTGTATGTCTAAGTCTGTTCAAAGGTTCTCTAACCTGGTCTTCCACTAAGGCTGAATCTTTGCTCCAAAATTTCCCATGGGTGTCACAGTCTAAAGAGCAGTCTTAAGACCAAAGTAAAGAAGGTACTGAATACCTTGGCCTCCTCCATGTCCTGTGCCACCAGGTACTCTGTTTAACAGCAGTCCCACATTTTTCCTAATCTTTCCTGTGCTGTTGACATACCTGTTGAAGCTCTTCTTGCTGCTCTATACGTCCCCATTAGATTCCTATCGTATCCTTAGCTTTCCTATTGTATCCTTAGCTTTCCTATCCTTACCAATGCATGCTTGGATAGTCTCTCTATATCTCTCCCAAGTCAACTACCTATAATCTCTTGAAGCTTCCTTCCTATGTCATAAGTTCAGTCATGAGCTCCTTGTTCATACACACAAGTCTTCTGTCACCATTGCTTAACTTCCTGAATATTAGGAATGACCATTCTTGATCCTGAAAGAGATGACCCTTGAAAACTATAATCAAACAGCACTCCTGGACCCCTCTTCTTTCCATCCCATAGGATGCTTTCAAAAATATCCCTAAAGAGACCAAACTCTGTTCTCCCTAAGTTTGGACTTGTGATCCTGTTGTTTATCTTGTTCCCTTCTCTCAGGATCCTGATGGTTTCTGTAATCTCTTTTTTCTATGCTAATAACAATACATGCAATTAATTATATATATAATTTTATATTATATAAACAAACATTTATATATATAGTATAATATTTATATATTTAAATAATGTATTCATATTATACATACTATAGAATATATATATGTAATTTTCCATGGTAACTATAAGAAACATTTTCAAGCCTGTGTAAATTAAATCAGGTTATACTAAGTGGTTTCCTGGGCAAGGTGTTGATTTTATTTAGATATCAACTCCTTACACAAAAGATAGTATCTAGACTTCTAGAGCATAGTATCAATTGATAGTAAAATATTCTATGAACACTCTCAGAAAGATTTGACTTCTATTTGCAAGAGGAAACACTACCTGAAATGGCATAGTCTCCGTTTGGTGATGCTACAGTTATTGCTGATGCGTTGCCAATGCTCTCCACCGGCCCCAGACCAACATGATTACTGAAACTCAGCACATGCCATCCCATAACTTTTGCAAGCTGCTGAACTGCATGTACTTGGTGCTGTGACATCTGAAACATAACAAGAGGTTTGTTTTCTATTCAATATTTGCAGGCCACAGAAAGAATTGCTTATGGGGTTTAGTAAGCCTGTTTTCTGTACAATAGTTATTTATAAAAGTGACTTTAAGTTCTCTACTTTCAGGGGAATAGTTATTTATAAAAGTGACTTTAAGTTCTCTACTTTCAGGGGAACTTTTCTTTACGTAATGGTAGAGCTTTGTGTTATTTCAATTTAGACCAATAACTTCACATTCAGAGAAGACCACTCTATTATGCAGTTAAATGAATTTTTCATAGGTACATGCACTTAGCCATTTTATTTAAGCATTGCTTTCAATTTAGGTCTCAAAAAATTATTTGTAAACAATCCTGTCTTTCAATAGGAACAAGACTTCTGCTGTAAAATATATAAAAATATGAGAAAATATTACCAGAGAATATTCAGAAAAAAAAGTTGAGGTTCTCACATGCATGATTATCTCCATTAATGCTCAAGTGTAAGCACTGAGCTCTAACAACTTAGGAGCTTAAATGCTACTGTTTTCCTGGATCATGACTTAACCCTTGTTACAAGGATGTATCCAGGACTGTTCAGCAGTTCTCTGTGAACAAGTCTGACAACACTTGACCAAAAAGACATGACCTCAGCAGAATCTGTTTTGACTTGTTTCCTGTGTCATAGAGTTTTATATAACTGCAACAGGCCAACCACTGTTATTAAAGACCTGTATTTTGACTATTTATAATGCATAGTGGGGAGATTGTTACTTCTGAATAAAACCAGCAAGTTGTTCAAAGCAATTAAGAAAACAGAGTTCATTCAAGTATCAGCTGATTTAGTAACGACAGATGCTAAGTGAGCATTAACAGACAATGTTGAAATGACAGTAATTGTGGGTTCATTAAGAACTTGGCTACAGTAAGTTTCATATATAGAATACCTTATTGTCTGCTAGGATTACCACTGACTTGCTTCTCCCCATAAAGAGCAGCATAAAGGAATGCATTTTAAATGGGAGGGAAAAATTATTATGACTACTGACCCTACTAAGAAATGGCAATGTATTTTAGTAACAGTTGCTAAAGACTCTCCACAAACATAGTGAAAATTCAGTCATCCAGCTTCCCTTCTTCACTATCTTAAACTGAACTTTTAAATATTTTCTCCATAGATAAAACTAACATAGATTCTAATTTCTGCTGTTTCTCAAACATCACAAGAAAGGGAAGATAACATACGTGAGTCTACCTGGGATAAAAGGAAATCCTGCAGTTCTTGCTCTTGATGGGACAATGTAATAACTCTTCCATCTCTATGCACAACTCTGATTTGTTCAACTCCAATGTTCAGCTGCAGTTGAATGGATCTTTGAAGACAAGATCCATATTTATTTAAAAAGCATTAGAACACTTAAGAAAACAGGAAACTAAGAACACAGAATTCCACCCAGTCATTGAAAAAAAATTCTTAAGACAGATAGCACAAAGCCTGTAGAATGTGACACCAACTCTAAACATTCCAGCTTCATTAGTCAGCACAATAGCTTCCTCTATATGGCAGGTGACATTTTCTGTGGCATGCTCTCAGACCTGGCCTACCATTTGTTCAGGTCAAGGAAGCCTCACCTGCCTGCCTGCCCCTGTGCCCAAGTTTCATCCCAGTTGTGCAGGGGAAATTGGTGTGTTCAATGCAACAGACAAGAGTTGGACAGTGCTTGTACTCTGGAACCAAGACTCAAAATACACCAATGACTGCAGGTTGCCCCACACTGTGGTCACAGCCAGAGAACACTGCTCCGAATGGAAAAAAACACTGTTGAGGCATTAATGAATTCACGACTGGTCAGTCTGCAGGCATCTATTTCTGAACCATGAAATCTCATATTTCAGTAACAACTGAAATAATTATCGCATGAATTACATGAGTTCCACATTTCTGTACCTATGCAACCAAGCTAGGACTGTGGAAGTTTAGAATCCAGCACATCAAATGATAGTTTGAATTCAGTCATCTCTACACAAAGTAAATCCCCTGCCACCTGTCCACTCTCATCTTATATTTCTTCTTTGAAAGGAAACTGTACTTATTAAAGATGTACTAAGTAACTTCATTAAGGGGTAAAGTGGGTGAAGCTTTCTTAAGGTGACTGTTCACCCCACAGTCAAGTCAGAAAAACAAACACACACAAATAATGGACTCCTACTCATCTGTCTGAAGAGAATCTAAACCTTTAAAGTGCAATGTGAATACATGCTGCCTTCGCTTCATGCTTTTACAACTGAAAGGACATGCATTCTCATACTTACTTGCATATCTGCTCATATCCTTGAGAAGTTATTAGAACTTTAACACTGGATTCATAAACATCATTGATATTGGACCAGTGAGCTTGAATCTGAGGATCCTCAATACGACTCGCCAGACTGTCAATGGTTCGAGCAGTTCTAGAAGATAAAGTCATATTCCACACACAATAATCCAGGCACTTTGTGCTGTTATCTTGCTTACAGGAAGCAAGGAGGTTATTAGATTTAACAGAAACATGTGGATCAAAATTCTATTTCAGCACTGTTCTGGTGTGAAAAAACTACACTTGTTTATTCTGTACATTTCTTATACATTCTCCAGCAGTATTGAAGTGGGATTACTCAGTACCAGCTACTGCACTGCAAAGAACACTAAAAAAGGATTTATACAGTTTGAGATAAGTAGGGACAATTATCAGCAGCTTATGTTGCCACTTCACAGAGATCTCAAAGAAATCTGGTATTTTTTCTTTTAACTAGCTGAGCCTTGTTTGCTTGCATTTTTTCATAATTTTTGGTTCTTAGTACTTACAAAAAAAGACTGTATTAACTATGAAGGAAATATCAGCTAGTTTTAGGAACACTTAAAACAGATCAACTGTATTCTACATAATGGTACATGTTAATGTAACACGAGTATCTTGTGACCCACCTTCGTCTCAAAAAGATATGCTTTGCTTGTTTTATGATCTTTTCCAGAAGGCCTTCATTCGACTGTAAAGAACTGATTTCATTTTTATCAAAAGCCTGGGGCCCTGCAAGTCTCATTCTCTTATGGCCAAAAGGTGCACTAGCTGGATGTGGCATCACTGTCGAGCTCAAGGTTTGCTTGTGACACTACAACAACCAACAGATGTTATAAAAGAAAAGGTCCAAATAACATATCTGCAAAATATACTATGTATACTACAGTATGTTGCTTCACATCAGGTGTTTTGAAAGTACATACTTTCAAAAAGTGCAACTTTTTATCAACCTGACAGCACTCTCAAGACAGTTTTTCATACTCCCCCCATTTATAGATGTCTTTCAAACCTTATAGAAAGTAATTTAAAAGAAAGTGTTAGCTAACAAAACTTTGGTAGCAGGGCAGTAGCTCCTATTAAGTCTTCTTTATATATGTCTATGGAGACAGAAAGAATGGTCACTTAAAAATAAAGGAAGCATTTTAGATGAAAAAAAAGTAAAGTATAAAAAGTTTTAGCAACCTGTCCAAAGGAAAGAAAGGAAATCCACAGGAAAGGTGGGCACTGAGCCAAAGCTTCATGAATCCTCAATCAGTGTTTAAAATACTGGCCTGTTGCACATGACTGCATGACTTGCAGAGCCATGCTCCAAGGAGGGGAACACTCTCTGGAACATGGCTTCAATTCTACTTAAAGATGCAAACCTCTGCTTCTTTCGTGAGGAGACACAACCTTAACCTCGTACCCCAAGTTATTCTGCTAGATCATACAAGAATCTAAAATGCTGAAGCAGAGAAGTGGACCTTAAAATAAACAAAGCTATTATGGCAATTGATTGTTCCTTCATGAGGGTACGGCCTGACCAGACGTTCACTGACAGTGCTTGGTAAGCACTATTAGACACAACAAAAAAAAGGCAGAATGGATGAACTCTACTGGAAAAACTTTGCATGGCTTTTCTGAAGTGAGCAGGCAGGTCTGAGGTTAAGTGAAGAACCTGCACGGCATGAAAGCATTAGCTGGAACTCCCAAACCACCCGCACCCATGGAAACCAAGCAGTAGGCTGCCTTCCACAAATGGATAGAGAAGGACTGGCCTCTAGTGGCACTCGGCTGTTATATCAGCACCACACACTAGGCAGAAGGCTGAATAAAGCCCAAAAAATCTTCAGTGCTTCAGCCATAGATGCAGTACCTCTCTGATAAGTTGATGCAAATTATGTTCCAAAACATAGAGATGATCCTCTGGATTCTGTTTTTCAGAAGCAGCCTTTTGTGACTTTTTATCATTGGAAGAGTGACACAGAGAAATAGACAACTGCAAACCTGTACAGAGTAGATGGAAAAAAAATATTTTAAAAAGTGAGCATTGATAATTTTCAAGGTTGCTACTGAGAACTGCTTTTCTTCATGTTTTATACTCAGTATAAACTCAGTACTATATTTGTATATAATATGTAAATATTATTTTTATTATTAGTTATTATATTTATACTCCGTAGTTTAACAACAGATATTCACTGTATCAGAAAAATCAAAAGAATGATGGTAGAGAGCAAAGTACTAACAGCACATAAAACTTGATATTCACTGAAGCATTGACAGGCCAACTGTGAACTCACCAGGTGCATTTCACATCAATTTCTATGACTTAATCCCACACAAAAAGAGAAGTTTCCAGGACCCCATTCCCTTCTCAAAGAAGGAGTGATTAACCATCATACACATTTTAAGCAATCCAGAAATACATTCTTTGCATGGTACAATCAATTGCATACTCCTTGTAAGAAGAGAGGATTCATCACCAACCCTGAGCCACATTTATGGTGTTTAATTATTCTCACTGAAGAGCATTTGCTTTTGTTCTTCTGAGGACCCATAAATTCAAGTCTTAAATTTCTTTTTGTATGCAATCCAGGAGCAATGACTTATGCAAAGCTCCAAACTGCCACATGCACACTGCATTACAGCTGACAGTTTTAAGTGCTGACAAAAAGCATAACCACAAAGGAAAACAAAGTACATTAGAAACCACTGTGCATTAGTTGAAATTCTGTTTTTCAAAACCTTTGAAAATCAAGGAATTTGTTTTTTCTTTTGTAAGGACTGAATATTTAAAAAGGCGACATCAATCACTACTTAAGCAAATAATTGTAGGTTAAGAGTCTGGAAAAGCTTCCTACCTGGGAAAGGCTGGGAGATTATCTGATTTTTCACTACAATGTGAGGAATCTGTGATTTAATTTGAACAGCTTCTCGTGACAGCTGGGCAAAAATTTCTTTACATAGAAGAACATTCTGTGCAGTCTCCAACTTTGTCTGCCAATGTGCAGAACCTGAAAAGTATAAATCAATATCTGCAGGAGGGAAGAGCAAAGAGAAGCCACCTTTTTGTTCAGATGCCAGATACTATGCAGTAGCCAGGTGTGATCACTAAGATAAAGCAGTCAGTACCTTATACCCAAATTGAATATTATCAGAATTTTATCTCAGTTAAGCAAGCACTTTAAGGTAAAACTAGAACTAATTTTGAATCAATTTTATATATATCGTGAAGTGCAATACCCTTATGGAAGAGTATATTACACTCTTCCATGCCTTTTGCAAACTCTCCTTATGAACTTCTGCTCCTTCAGCTGTAAGTTACTTTCAATGATACTTCTGATTTTATTAAATGAACTCTATGCTGAACTACCCAATAATGTTCAGTGCATGTATGTGCTTTCACAGGGTTTATAGGCCCAAAATTCTTGGGAGATTCTGGAGTGAGTAAGCACACAAGCTGTATAATGTACCCTCAATACCATACAAAACACCTCATAGCACAGCATGTCTATGTTCAGGACAGCACCAGCATCTATATCACAGACCACTGTGAAATAAAATCCTGCCAGTTTATTTCTACCTTTAAAGTGTAAAGGATGGCTTTTCAATCCAAAAGTTTAAACACTATCACATATTAAATGAATCAATGTACTTACTATCTGCCAGGTGAGCTGTTGGTACATAACACACAGACCACCAGCAGTTTTAGATCCAGATAAAACATATGAGCAATAGACACAAATGATTAATGATAACTCTGCACTTTGGGCAGAGTTAAAAGTAAACAACCATTACCTCAACTGAATTAATGGGATGTAACTGACTGAAACACAACACCTTGGTTTGATTTCAGCTATGGGCTCAAACTTTTAATGTCTAATAAAAGGGGTTCCAGAATACTCAAAATACAACCCTAATACTTTTCTTTCAGAACTGAATAAACACATACAAAAAACTGAAGAGGCATGCTTTGAAAGCATGATTTCCAAAGCCCAAGCAGCAGCCAAACAGAAAATTTTGGTTTATATAAGGGAGGTCTTATTCACTCTTCTTTCCAACTGTATGCTGAAATTTTCAAACAAGCATCATATGCAAACTTATTCCTTGAGAACACATTCATAAAACATATAAGCTATACCTGGTTTTGATTTTGGCAAGGGTCTTTTAAAGAGATTGACTGTCCCGAGGTCACCAATGTCTGGTGCTTGTTTTTGAATAGAAACCTAGGAAAGAGAGAACAGTATTTAATGTTTGTTCTTTGTTGCAAGCATACAAATCTGAAACAAAACTCCACCAAGACATTAAGGTTTCTCTGACAAACCTTGATGTATGCTGATCCCTCTAAATCACTTGGAATTTGAACATCCAAAGGACAGTAATCCTCAGGTATCTTTTTATCCAGGTCAATGTCAGTGTTCTTTATCACCTCAAATGTGCCATGATGAAGAAAAAGGGAGCCTGAGTAAAGAAGAACAAAGACATACACATTAAATATTAAGTGCAAATATTCTGCAAATATCTCTGTTTTGGAAGAGTATGTATTTTTGAGTCTCCAAATCTTCAGAGCTGCACTTGACTCAAATTTCTTAATGACGTCTTAAAAAAAACCCAGGTAAATTAGAAAGCTCATGGCATTGCATCAGCATCTCAGTCCTCCACCATGCAATGTGTAATATTTCACAGTAAGTTAACACAGAGTATTTAATAATTATGGGGGGAAGCCAAGAGTTTTTCAAAATTGAGTCATATGTGCAAGGAAGGAGAAAAAAAGAGATCTGGTTAAAAAAAAGACAAAAGTAAATTTGTGAAGTTTTGCAAGCAGGTAGTTAAAGGTACAACATCCCTTAATGATTTAAGGGAATTCTGATGATGTTTGTCTAGAAGTTGTAAAACTACGACCATGTTCTGACAGTAAAAGGTAACTCTGTAGCCAGTCATTCAGAGACTGATAAAAGCAGATAGCCACATCTGTAGTAGTTTACACCTTTTTCATCCAGGGCACAGTTCACCTAGTTCAGGGTAAATCAGCTAAAAATAATACCTAACCTGGGGTACATATAAAGCCTTTTCATGAACAAATCTAAGTTTGTCTGTCCTCTCCCTCACCAGTGGAGTCCTGTTCTGATGCCTGCTTTGTACCTATATCCTAAGTTCTGTGTGATTCTATATTCACTTAGTCACTCCACAATGGCCCCTAGAACCCTGGGCTGGTCACCCCCTTTAACTGTAACCCATGAATTAAGGCATATTCTCAGCATCACTTCTCAACTGTAGGAATAATAGCAATAATGATCTACCTTCAAAGTCACTCTTTAGTCACATGGTTTAGCTTTACCTGGTGTCAATTCTGGGGAGCAGGGAGTTAAACATCAAAAGCCTTTTGGGTGCCTTCTAATTTGAGATATTCTAGGATTTTCTGATCTTTGATTAAAAAAAAATGTAACCAACTCTTCACTTTTTTAATGCTTTACACACTAAATGTAGATAAAAGCCAAGGATTTACAGAGTCTGCCTGTCAACTGATCAACTACATTGCAATGCAGTACTGTTTCTGGGAACAAATTCTTAGTAAAATACTACACAGCGAGACTTTAAAATCACTTTCTGGATTGAAGATGGCAAGATATTTTCCCTGACACTGAAACAAGAGTTCTCCCTTTATAAATCTGTCTCATAAATATTAAAAATCCACACTGCAATTTTTATTATGAGATATTACATCTCTTTTTCCAGTTACAAAAAGACAATTTCATAAAATATCCATTCTTGTGAAAAAGATCCTACTGTTTACCTGCACTTCTGTAGCTCAGATCACCAAGAATTTTATCTCCCACTTTTCTCAGCTTCCAGTGTTGTCTCAGTCTTAGCAGTTCAGAGTTGAAGTCTCTTTGTCGCTTATTTTCCTGATTTTCAGCAACTGATTTGGATAATCTTTCTGCACCTTTCAACAGGATCTGAGCTGCTCCAGCTAATGACTTCTTTTTTGAAATCAGCTGTAGAAACTGAGGATTCTAGTACCAACAACAACGAGATCATTTCACTTTAATTCACAAAGTATTACTATTATTATTATTATTACTACTACTATTACTATTATTTTTATTACTGTAAACTAACTGATCGTGATTGATAAGTTGGTTTTGCCAGATATCCAGTAACTTATTCAGGATTACTTTCATATACCAGCATTATTCAGCTGGAAGTAGCATTCTGACCCAGAGCTTCAGCAAAGAGGCTTCTGAAATTGGCCTCAAGTCCCATTCCCAGCCTTACTCTGACGCTCAAAGCACTGCACTAGCACATCAAAAGGAACATTTTGATAAATTTTTTACTGATCACACATAAAAAAAACAAACACTGGAACAAAATCTTTAGCATCAAGCCACACAAAGTGCTCAACTAGGTACAACATACTTGTTTTGGAGGAAGGGGATCTTGCCCAACTGGATCTAGAGTCATGAACTTTTTATCTTTCACAATGCTAAGAACGTCGTACAACACACACATCTCAGTCAAAGCACTTCTTAAGTTGTTCCTCACTGAATCCCAAGGCCAGAGGGATGGCTGAAACTTTACCAATCCTAAAAATAAAACAAAGGACGGAAAAACAAAGGACTTAAAAAAGGTACGGTGTAGGACTCATTTTTAAACAACAGAGAGATCACAACAGTACGAAATACAACACGATATCGTATCTGCTGTGGTTCTTTCCCACTACAATTTACTGAGGCTCGGTCACGAATATTCTGACCTGCCCACCACGGGAACCCCTGGGGGAAGGCAGGCCCGGCCCAACCACCCGCGGAGCTGCAGGCCGGCACGGCCACGGCTCGCAGGCCTCCACCAGCTGCATCCCGGCGGGCGAGCTCGGGCTGGCGGCCCTTCTCACCTTCCTCATCCTCCGTCTCGCCCGGCTCGTCCTCCTCGGAGCCGGAGCCCTGGCTGAAGTCGATGCGCTGCGCCAGGCGCGCCAGGTTCTGGGACATGGAGAGCGGCTGGAGGTAGGTCTCGCTGCCATCCAGCCCCACCTCCTGCACCTGCTTCTCGCACGCCGACTCGATGCTGATGCGCACGGCCCGCACGCCCGCCATCTTGCAGCGACCCCCGCCCGCACTCGGCAGG